GTTTGGTGCCCTTGATCAGCTCTTCGAGAAAACTTCTATAAAATCAAAAGACATTGGTATTCTGATTGTAAATTGTAGCTTGTTTAATCCAACACCATCTTTGTCAGCTATGGTTATTAATCATTATAAGCTACGAGGGAATATTATTAGTTATAATCTTGGTGGGATGGGATGTAGTGCTGGCTTGATCTCGATTGATCTTGCTAAAGATCTTCTTCGAGTCCACCCCAATACCTATGCTTTGGTCATTAGCATGGAAAACATCACTTTGAATTGGTATTTTGGGAATGATAGATCAATGCTTGTTTCAAACTGCTTGTTTAGAATGGGAGGAGCTGCACTATTGCTTTCAAACAATGGGTCTGACAGACGTCGATCCAAGTACCAACTGGTTCATACTGTTCGAACCCACAAAGGTGCCGATGACAAGTGCTTCTCATGTGTAACCCAAAAAGAGGATTTTGCAGGGAAAATTGGAGTTTCTCTGTCAAAAGATCTTATGGCAGTTGCTGGAGATGCTTTGAAGACCAACATCACTACCTTGGGTCCTCTTGTGTTGCCTATGTCTGAACAGTTGCTCTTCTTTGCCACACTTGTTGGGAGAAAGCTTTTCAAGATGAAGGTGAAGCCTTACATCCCTGATTTTAAATTAGCTTTTGAACATTTCTGCATTCATGCCGGAGGAAGAGCTGTGCTGGATGAATTGGAGAAGAACTTGCAGCTTTCGGATCGCCACATGGAGCCGTCAAGGATGACACTTTATAGATTTGGCAACACTTCAAGCAGCTCTCTTTGGTATGAATTGGCTTATACAGAAGCCAAGGGGAGGATGAAGAAGGGAGACAGAACTTGGCAGATTGCGTTCGGGTCTGGCTTCAAGTGCAACAGTGCAGTTTGGAAGGCTTTGAGAACTGTGAATCCAGCAAAAGAGAAGAATCCATGGATGGATGAGATCCACCAGTTCCCAGTGGATGTTCCAAAGGTCTCAGCCCTCTAATTCCAGTGGCAGTTTCCCATTTCTTCTAGCAATATAAAATATATTAGGGGTAGCTAGTTTTCTGTTTCACTGCTACAATCTTCATGTTTGGCTTTAATGGAGTTACTGTTTGGCTTTAGTTATTAGGAGAGGAAATAGATGGTGTTAGTGTTTGGTTTACAGTGTATCCATGTGGTTTTGACTTGTGATTATATGCCTAATTAATCGACTGTTCGTTTTATTATGGTATTTGTCTTGTAGGTTTGAGTGTTTTATGCTGTTTGTTGATCCATAAACTGGGATTAATATCCAATGAGAAGGATTATTCCTAATCATCATATATTCTTCTTGGGTTGATAGATGTTTCTTGGCTCCTGCCTACATTTTCCTCTGCTACCTCTGTTTTGTGGATCCATTAACTGAGCTCATGTCACGAGAGATTTGTCTCCATATTAGACACTTCTTTGATGACACAATAACAACTAAATTCTTTTTGTTTTTTATACATCACTATAAATTGTGTGTTACACACGCCTTTGACAGTCCCCCCACATATTTGGAGCCAAACTATAATTTTCTAGTTTAATACGCTTGTGTTATCTTTCACTTCATGTATAATATTTTAGTATTTTAAAGTACTCATAATTAAGTACAAAGATGACTAAGTGAGAGTCCAAATAGTCTTGCCTTTAGAAAATAAAGTGTTACATGAGGCCTCAAATCTTTTATAAAGATTACGTTATTATCTTTGTTTTTCACATTTGGGTTTCATATAGTTTTCTTACCATTTTTTGTACTCTTTTACGGTGCTGCTATTTTATAGAACATCTGCTTCAACAACCAAAAAAAAAGTTACATGAACTGTTTTCATTCTTTTGTAAGTGCCTCGATGAAAGAGTTACTTGGTTTCTGACTTAGATGGAGCCTTTTCTTCTCTTATATTTTTCGGAAAACATTGCAACCATTTATTATTGGAAGGGTTAGTGATTTTCAACATGACACTACTCAAATATGTTGCGAAATTAACAAAATTGAAGATTTAGACAACAGATTAGGCTCGCATCAATCACAAATAACCTAACTATGACACTACGAATCTCTTCAACTAAATTTCTAATGAAAAAGGAAAAAAAAACGAACGAGTGCAATTATCTTATTTTCTCCAACTTTTGAGGATTGGGAAGAAATGGAAAAACAGAGAAAAGACTTTCATTTAATAACCATAACACACCAAACAAAGCACCTCTAATTTCTACACTCTAACCACTACCAAAGAAATGAAAAAATATATTCTTTGATTGTTCCCAATAGAAGTAAAAGTATGCAGGAGTTCCATTTTCAATGAATAAAATGTATCTGAAAATGTACACAGGAGTTCCATTTTCCCAAGAGGAGTTGACAATACATGGAAACCACAAGAATACTAGTCCTTGGTGGACTTGTTGATGAGAGACTTGTGAATGTGAGGGATCACGCCACCACCGGCTATTGTTCCTTTGATCAGGGTGTCTAGTTCTTCGTCACCACGAATTGCAAGCTGCAAGTGTCTGGGTGTTATACGCTTCACCTTTAAATCTTTGCTTGCATTACCTGCCAGCTCCAACACTTCTGCAGTCAGATACTCCAAAATTGCGGCAGAGTACACAGCAGCTGTTGCACCAACTCTTCCATTAGCTGAAACCCTTGACTTCAAAAGACGGTGAATTCGACCAACTGGGAACTGCAGGAATACGTATTCAAATATCAGAGATAGGGAACATAGTGGGCATATATACCCAAAAGCAACTAAATAAAATCCATGGGAGGAATTAAAGAACTACAAAAACATCTAAAAGAAAGAACCAATTTATCAACCCGTGGAAAGTCCACAATACACTCATGCTTAAACACAAGTTCATGAGACTATACTTGAAATCCAAATTATCATCTAGGGTAATTAATTTATAGCAGCACCTCACCCAGGTTAACGACACATCTGATTAAATTGATCTCATCATTAAAAAGAAAGGCATTGCAGGATAGATGGAAACAGGGACCAAAGTTCCAATTGTGGACTCAAGATAATGAATAAACAGTGAACATAGATGACCCGATATCAAATCGTCCTTTTATATGTTTTGGTCATAAATGTGATTGGATTAGGGCAACTACTAGATCAATAAGACATCAGCTGAGTAAGTTAACAAGTCTTTTATTGATTCCCCTTATACCCATCTAAGTTGGGTAAGCTATTCCTTCACCACTCTGGGTCACTTTCTTTAAAGGAGCCCAAGCTTCACTCACATACAAAGAAAATATCCTAATCTAAGTTTAGTAGACCAGGATTTGACAGCAAAAAGATAATGTTGATGCCTAACCTTCTTGACCAATTATAACCTTATCAAGTTGGAAGCTATAATTTCTAAAACAGCTGCAGTGAATACTATGCTCTGTTGCTTAACAGAAAAACTAAACAAAAAAACTTCATGAAAGAGAACCGTAAAATCTCTGTGCCAAGGCAGAAAAGTACTGAACTAAAAATCAGCTGAGACAACTATTTACCTATATATTTGATGCTTATCAGCCTACAGTTAGATGCACAGAGAAAACTCAAATTTGCAGATCTTAAAGCACTAAACATAACATTTGAGGGCCGTGGGTAAATAAAAAAAGCAGAGCCGAGCAGAAAGTAGCAAGCCAGTGCAATTTTATCCTCTCCATTACCATGATAGACCTCTTCTTCATGCCAAGCTCAGTACCATGATAATCCATCCATTCCCATGTAATTGAAATCCTATGAATTTGAAATTCAGTTACTTTTACAGCAAGCAAACTAATCATAACTGACCACAATTATCCCATGTATCCCATCAAGCACAATTTAGCAGATTGCTCTGAGCTAGTGAGCTCTGAAATTACGAAATCTCCACGACCCAACTATTCATTTTCTCTTTTTTTCTTTTATTTCATTAATAATTTAGATTTTTCCAACCATAATTCTAATTCTATCCATAATATTCGTATACACACCAAGAACCAACACAAATGAGAACACGCATTTTCTAAACAGAGCATATTTTGAAAAACGAAGATTTACCCAGGAATGAATCATGAAAAAAATCAACGAAATCGAACTGAAAACAAATATAGATGAAAACACAGAGAGAGAGAGAGAGAGAGAGAGAATTGTACCTGAAGGCCAGCTCGAGAAGAACGAGAGATAGGTTTCTTCTTGTCCTTGTCTTTGTCTTTGTTGATGGCTGGGCTTTTGCCCATTATCAAACCCTTCGCGCCTTTACCTGACATTTCTTTTTCTCGAGAAATTGAATGAAACTGTGAATAACTCAATTTTGCTTTCGAGACAGCAGCAAAAAGCCCAAAACGCGAACGCAGATAAAAACAGAGAGAATTTGCAGATGGGGGTCGACAAAGATCGAATCTTTTTTAGATTTCAGGGACTGGAGAGAGAGAGTCGGGCTATTTATAGGGAGCTTTTTACCGCTTAAAATACCCACCGACTTATGTTTAATCACGAACAAACCACCTTCTTATTTGGATTTTTGGATCGGGTCTTTTGGATATGTGAGAACAATATGTACTGACTTTCAAAGAAGGTGGGTTTATAATAATTTTGGAAAATAATATATTGGTCTAGTGATTTTGCTTCTACAATGTTAGAAGAGGTCTCAAGCTATTTGAAATGTTGGTATCTTAGTTAATGCGTTACACTTCTTGTTAATTTAATTTCTATTACAAAATGACAAAGCTGAGAGGCATAAAATCATGCCTTAACTCTCACTTCTCAGAGTAGGTTAACTTGCTTATAAATTGATTCCATTCCATCATCACTATAGTACTATATCATTATCCTATTGATATGTTTTATTTAATTAATTATGGGAACATACCATTTTATTTATATTTATATCTAGTTCATTCTTAATTATCATATCATGATACTAGTGGTTAAATATAAACACATGTATATATCTGAGGCAAAAACGAATCGCTTTTTGTTGAAAAATATAACAAGTTTAGGAACACATTTTCTTCAATTCTCTAGAAACACTTAATAGGAGCAAAATTCAACTACATACTAACCATGCTGAAAGGTACACATACAATCAAACCAAACTAATTGACCTTCAATCCTCAAAGTTCTAGGAAAATATATATATATATATATATATATATATCAAAGGGGTCCCATGTCCCTTGATAAAACAATGTGTTGTCTTCTAATTCAAACCCTGCAAATGCAAAATTAAATCACAATTATTGATCATTAAAAGCCACCAAGAAATACAAAACGAAAATCTAATGAGCTTGTCGATTAACACTGCATATTAATTTAAATATGTTGATTAACAGTTCATAACATTCAGTACTTACTGTTGAAATTCAATGTTAACGAACTTAGCAGAAGAGTTGGCGATTGCAGCGAAGGCGGTGGTGGAGAGGGCCATCGTAGTATCCTTCCTTGAAGGCCGAGACACCGAAGAGAGAGCTCGATCCACAATCCTTATCTGAATCGTCTTCCCTGGAACGCAAGTTCCTAGCACCGGCGCACTAATGCACCTCACCAGATATTGCCTGCCGCAGGCCGCACCATTGTCCCATATTCCCTCGCCAGCTGACCCAAACAGGTTGCTCGACGGAAACTGTGAGGGGTCGCTTCCCCTGCAAGCGGTGGCTGCATGCATGCAACGCAAGCTTAGGTATTAATCAAATATCCATGTTAACAGAAATATATCGACAACTTGAAAATTCTGCAATAAAAATGAAGATGTAAACTAAATATATTTTGATATTCAGAAAAATTATATGAAAGTTTCAGAAAAATGATATTCAGAAGATATTGTATGTAATAAAGATACATTAGGGTTTTAGGTTTACGCAAATATGGGGGGCTGTAGTGGGCAGCAGAGCCAACATCAGCCTGAGAGGAACGAAAGAGCGCTGAAAAAAACAGGAAGAGAAACAGCCATGGAAGGGAGCTCGGAGAAGGTGACATGCCTGGATAACAAAGTAAGAAGAAAATAATCTGATGGAATTAGTTAAACATTATATATATAAACAATATTAATTAAAGATTCATTCAAAGTCAAAGGTTTGAAAATTAGGTTAATTTTAACTTTGGGTGCAGGACAGTTACTTGGTAGCTCAGAGTAGGACACCGAAAAATAAAAAAGTATGATCGTCTAAACAAGTAAAAACAGCAGAAAATATGTCCCCGTCCAGGGATGGGGTAGTCTCCCCTCCTCCTAAACTTTTCTTCGTGAAAAAACAAAAAAAAAACAGCAGAAACACAAACACAAACAGAAGTAAAAACAAAAAGGCAGATAGAAAGAGCAAGAAAAAATAGATTAGTTAAGAAATGGGGTTTAGTGGTTTTGGTACGTAGGTACGTAGGCTGATCAAATGAGTTATGGTTGATCCAAAACCACCTTAAATAAGTGGAAGAAGAGTCCAAGAGGTGAGACGATAAGCACAGTTTTAAATTCTTAATTAACATCATAAAAATATAGTACAAATCTCAGCCGTCCATTGTCTACTACTGGACACCACACAGAAGAGCAGAGGACCCATGTACTTCCATGTGGACAAAGCTAGAGCTTAGCCGTCCCTCGCATGCTCTTTGCTTACAAAGTCATTCACTGGCCAAGGCAAGTCATATTGGTTGGCATAAATACCCACCCCAGCTTTCCTTGTATGTATTATACAACGATCTAACGGTCTAGCATATTAGAATGGAAGGGGAGTATCTAAAATATTGTAATATTAAGTGAGCATCTAAATTGATTTATGAGTGAAGGAGATTGCAACGTACGTACCTGGGCAAGTGCTGTGCTCAGCAGCGAGAAGATGAATAGAGCCTGAAGGCTGATCGAGAGTGCAGGCAATGTAGCTAGATATGGAGGAATTTATAGATGAAAGAAAAATAAAATCACACTCTTCTGAATAAGGTAGGGAATTCATTTGGAACGTTTCCTTGCAAGGGAGGGACTTCTCAGATGTGTACGTTAATGTTAAGATGCGTAGTTGTTTTAAAACGTAACTTGCTCATTAATTCTTTTTTATACGTCTAAACTAATAATGAATTCCGAATTTCCTCACCAAATTTACTTTCTTTATTAGTGAATTTGTATTAAGGGAGGGGTGATCCATTCAATGCACCTATGTATCTGAAAAAATCCCAACACAATTTTCTTATTTTATGCACTATCTTATCTTTAGTTTTCATAAGTTTTTTTAACTTTAAAGGAAAATGACAAATTGTTATGCCTTCTCACGGGGTCGATGAACATGGCGTACGTTGTGTAGTTACTCATTTGTACAAGTAGAAGCCAAAAAAAGATTCCAATTTCTATAATTACTCTAACAAAATAGCAAAGTTGTCTTTTTTGGATACAATCGATATTTGTTATTGGGGAAGGGAGAATGAAACCTGGGACCCAAGAACCTAAGATCATGGGTAAATACTCTTAATCACTTGAATTACAAGCCCTTTACCGAAAAAGTTGTTTATCTAATAGAAAATTAATGGAATTAGTTATAACATGAATTTGAACATAATGAAAAAAAGGATAGAGAGAAAAACACAAATAGAAAGACACAAAGGGAAGGCCGAAAAACACAAATAGAAAGGCACAAAGGGAAGGCCTTAATCCCATGAATTTAAACATAATAGAAAAAAACACAAATAGAAAGGAGGCTACCATTTCTCATAGAGCATCTCCAACCGATATGTCAAAAGTGCCATATAGACATTTAACAGCTAGAAATAACATCTCACATACTCCAACCGATGTGTCAAAGCTAATGTGGAATGAAGGCTGAAGATTGAGATGTTATTTTTGACATCCCAAAAGCAAGATGTCAAATGAATATTTTATTATTTTTTCTTTTCTATTCTTTTTAATTAAAAATAAATCAACACTAAAATGTAATAAAATAATAATTTAATTTGACATATCGAGTGGAGTGTAAAGCTGTATAAGATTTACACAGTTTTAAATTTGATGTCAAATACCAAACATCAAATTTAAATTTGATGGCTGATGTGGCAATTTAACATTTACACAGTTTTACACTCCACCCGATATGTCAAATTAAATTATTATTTTATTACATTTTAGTGTTGATTTAAATTGGAAATAAATTGGAAAGAGAAAGAAGGAAAAAATTTGTAACAGTCAAATCATTCAAGACAAAGAAGAAAAAAATAATAAATAAAAGTAACAGCAAGCTATCTTTAAAAAATAATAAAATATTCATTTGACATCTTGCTTTTGAATGTCAAAAGTAACGGCTGAACCTCCGGCCTTCATTCCATATCAACTTTGACAATTCGGTTGGAGTGATATGATATATTATTTCTAGCTATTAAATGTCTATGTGGCATTTTTGACATATCAGTTGGAGATACTCTAAGTTCCAACAAACAAATGTACTTTGCTATCCTACCATTTGTTTTTTTGTTATCCTAATATTTGTTTTTTCTTAAGGAAAGAAGAGGAAGAGGGTAAATCACTTGCAACTCTTACCATAAATGAAAGGTTAATCCGCATCCCAACGAACGTGAGCCGCCATAATTTATGTTTCGGAGCTTTCAACAGATACAAAGTAAACAATAAAATTTGTAGTTGATGGTACCAGTTATCCGAAAATCCCTTTCTCTTTAATTGGATATTTGCATTGTGAAATTATCGTCTGCAATTTTAAAAGGAAAAAAAAAAAAGAGAATCCATTTGGGTTGGAAGGCCTAAGTGTATTGGCAACCTTTATAAATGAAGGCACACCAGAGCCTTCCATTTATTTTGTACTTTTGCAAATAGATACTCTCCAATTAATGCTTCTTGCATCTCCTCTGAATTCTCTGTTCACTTCCTGTTGATTTTTACTTCCACCAGCTTCTTTCTTTGCTCTGTCTCTCTGCAACTTTTCACAACGCTTAAATGTGTTGGTTGTGTTAATGTGATTCTTTGTTCATTTTCTGCAAGTGAGCTCCCAAATTCTGTTCTTTCTTGAAATTCATTGAGTTTGGAGAGTTGGGTTTGTGTTTTTCCTGATGGGTACTGCTTCTGCTGGGTACCCATCTGGAATTACTTTCCATTACCGTGGAAAGTTTGGGGCTTTTCCTCAAAAAGTCGAGTTCAATGGCTCTAATTTTCCACTTCATGTGGAATTTCCGAGAAGTAACATGTACCCAAGTTCTGTTTCCACCACGACATTTAAGGTAATCACTGTTGCCTCCCTCATCTCTTGTGTACTTGCTTCAGAAACTGAGAAAAAGAAAGAGAAATAGCACCTGAACAAAATCTATGCTTTGTTTGAATGGGGTTAAATTATGTTTAAATTTTTGAGGTGCTGTGTTCTGTAAAGTTACAGGCCAATTCATTCAATTTGGTATCTATCTTGAATTGGGTGAGCGGCAATGTTTGTTTGTCACTATATTCGCTATTTTCAGTAATTATTTGTTTCTAAAACGGAAAAGCTTTATTGGTGAATGAGAACTTGGTTTCCAGGATGATGAGAGACAGAAAGGAAGAGGGGAAACTGCCATCATCATCAAATATTTTTCTTTTAAGTTAATTTATAGTCTACATCATGTCCCAAATGATTTTAGCACTAAGCACTAAGCGCACATAGAGGTTCATCTAGATTCATGATTGATAAATCCCTTAAAAAGATAGAATGTTTATATTATCCACTCCTACATAGGCAGTTAATATCTTTTTTCTTTTTTTTTTCATGATGCAGGAAATAGTGTGTCCAAAATGTTCTCTGCTTGATAGTGGCGAATTTTTCTCGGAAGAAGTTTCGACACCCATTCTTGATTCAGTTGAAAATCCTATCCACCTGAAGAACTTGTCTCTTAAAGTGAGTTTTGAGGCATTTACATACTTTGCTTTTTTGGTTATACTTAAGTTTACAGCTACTCACCACAGATCGATCAGTGCAGGAACTGAAACAGTTATCTGATGAAATCCGTTCAGAGTTGTCATCAATAATGTCAAAAACAAGAAAGTCTTTTAAAGCTAGCTTGGGAGTAGTAGAGTTGACAGTTGCCATGCACCATGTTTTCCATGCTCCTATAGACAAGATACTATGGGATGTTGTAGAACAAGTAAGATCATAACATCAATACCTTCTCCTTGTAGGGATACCTAATTTTTGGAGAGATGGTGCTGAATATGGATCACTTGTGGTATTGTTTCCATTTTGATGTTCAGAGTTAATACCAGAAAAACACATATAAAACAGGAAGCGAAGAAATCAATGGAAATCTTCAATTTATATTTAGTGATTGTATGATCTAAGTTTTAAAAAATTCCTCTTGTACTGGCAGACCTACGCGCATAAAATTCTAACAGGACGACGGGACCTCATACATACAGTGCAACGAAATAATGGTCTTTCTGGTTCTACATCTCAATCCGAAAGTGAATATGATCCATTTGGGGCAGGGCATGGGTGCAGCAGTGTTTCTGCTGGACTTGGTAGGTGTCTGCTTCCATTCTGCTTGTTCATTTTTTTCTTGTCACAAAATCACTTTCTTTGAGAAAAGTTCACGCTTTTATTCAACTTAACTTGCATTGAACACTTCTCTGGATATTCTGGTAATCATATATGTTCTTTTTATGTTGCGTTACATATTGATTTTCATGCTCGCGTCCAGCTTAATTTGCATTTTACACTTTCCTGAGTTTATGTAGCTCATGATAGTATGTTCTTTCCTTTCAGATTTTTTCTTTTTTGGGGTTAATTTCAGATTTGTTTATTATGCTTGTTGTGCAGTTAGCATATAGGAGAAAATCTTTCAAGTTTGGTTAGCTAACTTAGATTTACAACTTTATTATTTTTTAACTGGACTGCAATTTATAATCTTTACAGGTATGGCAATTGCACGGGATATTAAAGGAAAGCGGGAACATGTTGTCACAGTCATCAGCAATGGGTCAACAGTAGCTGGTCAGGTCTATGAGGCAATGGGCAATGCAGGTTATTTGGACTCAAATATGATAGTTATTTTAAATGACAGCAGGCACTCTTTACACCCAATGATTGAGGAGGGCCCCAAGACAGCCATTAATGCTCTGTCTAGTACCCTAAGCAAGCTCCAGTCAAGTAAATCATTTCGGAAGTTTAGAGAAGTTGCTAAGGTATTTCCTTGGTTTTATGATCATACCTCTAGGACTAGAAGATTTTATGACACTGAAGCGTTATTTTGAGGACTTTCATAAATATTTAGCTGTATTGGAATTATTGAAGTCCAGAGAACAGAGATATTAAAAAAATATATTTAAAAAATGTTTAAGATTTTGGGCAATAATTTAGACAACCTGACCAGAGCATGCAGAAGTTATTTGATTTTGTGTGCCCTGCATCTAAGAGAAGAACGTAGTTGGCTCTGGGGATTTTGAGATATCAAACATTTTCTGTGCTTATGGTTCGCTGAAGTATTTATTTCTCTCCCACCCTTTTTTTTTTCAGAGTGTTACTAAAAGAATTGGTGGAGGTATGCATGAATTGGCAGCTAAAGTTGATGAGTATGCACGTGGTATGGTCGGTCCACTAGGATCAACTCTTTTTGAAGAGCTTGGATTGTATTACATTGGCCCTGTTGATGGACACAACATTGAAGACCTGATTTGCGTTCTACAGCAAGTGGCATCTCTGAATTCAATGGGTCCTGTTTTGGTCCATGTGATAACAGAAGAAAATCGGGGACTGGAAAACAACCCAAAGAGTGGGGTGGCATACAGGCAGCAGGACGGTACGTCTCTCATTTCCTTCTCTGATGTTCATTTCATATTCTGTGCAAAGTTCTGCAGTAACTTTTGGGATTCATGAGTTGATTTAGGTGTGATGTAGCCAAACTCACCCCAT